GCCTCTTATTAAACAGATGTCAACTTATCTATAGTATCTTAAGCTTGGAATACATTACACAATTTTTGCCCCAATTCTCCACTGATTTACAGTCTGGAGAAGTTGATGCTAGTTGCCAAAGGTCAGAGCCAATTATACTTAAAGTGATAACCATCAGTTAATATTTAAGGTATGTTTATGAAGTATTTACATTGACGTTCAATGTGGAAGAGCTTAAAGAGAGCACACTGAGCTTAATGGGAGCAGAAACAATTTTTTATAAATTTTATGTAATATTTATTAAAATGACAAGATTTTGCAAAATAAATCTAGGTCATGTATTAAATTCATACATATTTTATTATGAACAACTACTATTAACAATATCTATGAAATTATACTTTTTCTTATTGATGTCACACTGAAGCTGTGTGATTTTCATAGTATTGTACCCTTTAAGCTCAACTTAAAATAATATGAAATCTTTAAAAAAATACAGCAGTTTAAAACCACAGACCAGCAATAAACTATCAATTTATAATATTATGGATGTAAAAGTATAAGCCAGTAATGCATGTGAAGTAATATATTAGCATAGCATACAGTCTTTTGGATCTAATGTAATTATTTCCCACATCCAAGTTCCAGGTTATAATCTGCAAAAGTCTAAACATTAATCTCTTAATTTTACAATAAGTAGTGAAATTTACCGAAAATAAAGGCTTAAATATCTTAAAAATGCACATTTAAGGGGCTCCTCTTTTGGTGAAAGTTTTCAGACAGCTTTCAAAATGGCTGCCAGACAGTGTGCACACATGGAGACCCATATCTCAGTGTGCACTGATCTGACTGACTTGAAATTACAGGAGGAATGTAGTAACAAAACATACATTTGTTAAGACATCAAGTATAATAATACATTATGTTTTCTTTTTATAATCTGAGCTCAAATATGGAAGTGAGCTTAATAGGTATGTTTACCCTATTATTTATTATTTTCTTACATGTTAGTGCTTAGGTGAACCCTATACAAACGTTCTGTAACATTGGTGGCAGCAGTTTTGTGTCGGTTCATTTGCATTTGTGTTGTACAGTGTCGCAGCAGATGTTAGTCTAACCTTAAAAGTTATTACAGAGTCAGTGAGTGTTCAGCACTTCGCTGTCATCATATGGTGTAAAGACAAGGATGGCTTCTTTTCCATGCAGGACCATCACCGCATGGTCAAAGCATTTACGAAGGGAGACTTTTAACAACTATAATCTAGTAAGGATTCTATTGATTCATTTAAATAATGCTTCTTCTTTTCCGTGGGACAGCCTTCCTGCTGCTGTTCAGGCTGATTGCAAAGCTGTGAAGGAAAGACTCAAGGAGGCTTTTGGACATAGACAGTTTATGGATCACCTCACAGTCAGCCTATCAGCCTGCCCACTTGTTCCATAAGACAGTTTGGAGGTGTATGCTGCATAGGTTAGCAGGTTGGTTGATGAGGAATTACTGGAGTATGAAATAAGGGACACGAGAATGGAACTGAAACACTTGGGTGATGAAAATCCAAAAGTGAAAACCAGATTATATCCTAAAGGTATGAGTCTTAAAGGATGAGTGGAGTTGATCTAGTGGATTGTGTCAATGCTGCTGTGCCAGTCTCTTGTCTTTATTGGAGCACAGAGAGAGGATTTTTCTGTACATAAGAGATTTCCTTTAAATATGGGCACTTTGAGCTCTGTAGATAAAATTCAGTTCCTTTCCGAATGGGAATTTGAACTTGAGCAGCAATTTGTTCCTTGTTCCTTGGAAGGTGTCCTGAGTGATGATTGTTGCTAGGCCTCCTCTCACTTTAAAGAGTTGTCAATATGAGGCGTACGTTCCCAGAGCTCTGTTTTGCTCTATACTGCCTTAAAGGTGTTCTCTGGAATGCCAAGCCCTTGAGGTATCCCTGTGGGCAGGGTGCGAACTACAGGGGAGCTAGGGGGAGCTTGGCTCCCCTGAAAACGTGATTTGTGAAATTTTGGGGGGTCTCAAAAAATATTGACAATGTGTTATTTTGACGTGCAATTTCAGTTTTGTCTAATGTGATCATCGTGGATTATTATGTGTAAAATTGCAAAAATATCATTCATTCATGCATGATGGCGATTTAAACCTAATTCACTTCAATAAAGATAACTATACATGCTATTCTTGTCATGAGCATCGAGGTGTGGGGTGCTGCGGTGCACATTCCACTCATGTTTAGTACATGTTAACTCAAAGATTCGTAGAAAAAATATAAACATTGGACTCTGTGGGCGATTCTGTGTTAAGGTAAGGCATGTTATTTGCAATTATGTGTTGTGGCTGGGTTGTTATAGGTCTGCGTGACTCTCGATGTCTTAGGCCTAATTGAACGGAGGAATTGTGGTATTCTTCTGTAGCCTGACGACGAGTAACTAGTAGTGCATACACTAGCTGTTATGTATCTTTGTAAGTCATTGTAAGCCCACGCGCACGGATTTTGAATCATTTGTAGAGGTTTGATTGTGCATAATGGAAGTTCAGCCAGAAGAGCATTGCAGTAGTCCAGCCTAATGGCAAGGGCTTGGACAAGAAGGCCTGATCTTTCTGATGTTGTACTATGCGAACCTGCATGATCAAGCCGTTTTTGCAATGTGATCTTTGAAGGTCAGCTGGTCATCAAAGATTGCACCAAGATTTCTCACCAATCTTGATAGGGTAATTGTTGATGAACCTAGCTGGATGGTGAAATCATGCTGTAGATTTGGAGTGGCCGGGAAGACAAGAAGCTCAGTCATTGCCAGGTTGAGCTGCAGGACGACATGTCCACCAGGCAGCCTGAGATCTGTGCAGCTACAGTTGGATCATCTGGTTGAAATGAAAAATAGAGCTGTGTATCATCAGCATAGCAATGGTAGGAGAAACCATGTTCCTGTATGATGGGTCCCAGTGATGTAGTGTATATGGAGAAAAGAAGGGTTCCAAGAACTGATCCCTGAGGAACCCCAGTGACCAGTTGATGTTCTTTGGATACCTCCCCTCCCCAGGTCACCATGAAAGTCCTACCTGTGGGATAGGATTCACAGGGAAGAGGAATCCCTGTGATGCCCAGTGATGAGAGGGCGGACAGGAGGATCTGATGATTATCAGTGTCAAAAGCGGCAGATAGATCCAGCAGCATGAGAACTGATGATTGGAATAAGCTTTTGCAATCCGCAAGGCTTCAGTGACTGTAATGCAGTTTAATTTGAATGGATACTTCTAAAACCTGATTGGTTAACGTCCAGTTGGTTATTTTGTGAAAGAAATTATGTTACCTGGTTGAAAACAACTTGTTCAAGTGTTTTCGCTATGAATGGAAGGAGAGAGACAGTTCTGTAGTAATCTACAAGTGAAGTGTTTAATGTAGGCTTTTTAAGCAGTGGGGTTAAAGCGGTGGGGATCATGCCTGTGAGAAGTGATGTGTGGGAGAGATGGAAGCTGTGAGGGGATTGTGTCTAGAGGACAGGTTGTAGGATGGCTGGAGAGAAGAAGTTTGGATACTTCTGCCTCAGTGAGGAGACAGAAGGAGGAGAGGGGAGTTTTATCAGTGGATGTGGTTGGTTTGAGCTCCTGTGTGTGTGGAGCTGAGAACTGACTGCTGATGGCTGTAGTTTTGTCTGTGAAGAACAAAAACATAACAAAAACATCAGCTGTTGAAGAGGTGGTGGAGGGGACATAGCAGGGAATTGAATGGTTTGAATAGATCATACGTTTCTAAAATGCATGGTTACATGTGTAACGTCTAGGTTACTTGTGTAACCCTCGTTCCCTGAAGGAGGGAACGGAGACGTTACGTCAGTGACTGACGAATTGGGATCTCGCCCGAGAGCCCAATCACCTTCGAGTGTTAACTAAACAAGCCAATGACAGTTGGCGTGCGTGTTTCGCCACGCGCACCCCGCCCCGCAAACGCACATCAGTTTTTCGCTGAGGAGCCGAGACTACGTGCCCCGGCCGTACAGCGGTGGTACAGCAACTGTGGCAACGGAACGTAACGTCTCCGTTCCCTCCTTCAGGGAACGAGGGTTACACAAGTAACCTAGACGTTCCCATTCAGTCAGTCACGTTCAACGTATCTATCACAGTATTTACTGAGCTCTTCCAAAATGACCCATTTTTTCCACAAATGGTTACAAATGCAGGCTGCATGGCTAGGGGCTTGATTGTGTACATCTGTGGCAATGGATCTGATTTAAATACCTGAATTCAGTAATTAAGAGGTGTATTCCAATACTTTTGTTCATATAGTGTATTTTGAATGAATGAATGAATGAATGAATGAATGAATGTTGGTGCCAATAGCTTTGTGGGCACTGGGCAGTGCGCCGACATACACCGCCGTTGTGCAATGGGCATCCTGAGTTCGAATCCCATCACTAGGACCTTTCCCGATCCCAACCCCCTTCTTCCTCTCTCACTTCACTTCCTGTCAGCTCTAAACTATGCTATAACAATAAACGGCAAAAATAAATAAATAGGATGCCACATCTTGGAAATCAGGGAGAGCATGAGACTCCACACAGAAAGGCCTGCTGACTCCGGGACTCAAACCGGAGACCTTTTTGTTGCAAGAACCCGTGCCACCCTATGTAATTAATGTTAATGTAATTTATGAAGGATTTTCCAGATGAATGTCTCAGTCTGGGACAAAGGAAAAATGATAAAAATGTATACATAAAAGGCATCTAAAAATTTTAAATAAATAACGTGTAATAACATCTATTAATGATGGTTATAGATGGTTAAATAGATATAACAAATGCAACACTAATCACATTTTAATATGCAAATAGATGAAACCAATTGTAATTCAGCATGTAAAATCATGATTCCATCACTGTCAGCTACATTATGAATGCTGTTATTAGAATCTAATAACAAATGCTAACAGGTCAATTTCAAACCTAAAGGTATTTTAAGATATTTAAATGAAGTGCAACAAACAGGCAAACAAGATATCTACAAACGGCTGTCTCACCACGAATATTGTTTAACACTGAATGAGCTCTCTCCAGGTTCCCCTGTAGTTCATTTAATGTCATGTTGAAAAACATCTCGAGCTTCCACATCTGCTTCTTCATCAGGCAGCACCCACAAGACGCCACATCAGTCAGACACGCTTCAGAGGCAAAGAGAGTTCATTACCCTGATGCCTGAATTATTGTTTAAGGGGTTTTATGACCTTTATTATTATTGTTATTTTCTTTTAAAGTCACCATTCTCATTGGCGTCAACTTGGCTGTCATTTCCACTCCAAGAAAAAATCTTGTCTTGTCCAAGTGCACATCCCAAGAGGCTTAAGATTACAAGTGCTAAAACATGTAAAAGAAAGTTATGTACAATCCTGTACATAAACACATTTATGCACATGTATATACAGGTTGAACACAGTAATTTCATTTAATTTAAAACATTTATGGTCTCACCCCTCATTTCTGCTGATGTCTTTTAACTGTAGTCTGATGAAGATGTGTTAACGTCAACTCGAGTAATCCTGGCTATAAAGGCTAAGCAGACCCCACCTCTTGCCTTTCACAAGAAATGGCATGGGCAGGGCCTTTTGTGTGCGTTTTTATCTTGCAACACAGTGCTGAATATAGGGCGAGTATTGTTTTTCAGATAAAGCACATCATGTTGTTCCCATGGTTGTTTTCTCTAGGGTACCACTGACACTTATCTTTCTTCATCTTGGAGCTGAGCGTTGAACTGTAACAACAACAAAATGCAAAATACCTAAATGATGACTTGCAGTCTGAGTATGAAATAATGAATTTTGTCTTCTCATCTAAGGTAAATGATAAATAATGTTTTTCCAGGCACCTAAATGACAGATGTAACGACAATTCACAGAAAATTCAAATTTGACACCTCCTCGATAAAACTGCATTAAATCATACAGATCGTTTTTTGAGCTTAATTTAAGACATAGACTTCTACTGTTGTGCTTCGCTAACTTTTTTGCTGTTTTTTGTTGCTGCATGGCTCTGAGATTGGTGTTTGGAGAAATAAAAAAAGTTTTATTTTTAAGGCCTGTTCACACAAGAACAGTAACGATAATGACAAATATATTAGCATAATTAATTGTAATCATTAATGTTCTACTCTGCCATGGAAGTCTATAGCAGCCCATAGAACCGTATGGTAAAATGTTGTGAAATTTTGCACACAGACAGGACATCCTGATCATTAACCGTACCAAGTTTGGATTCTTTATCTCAAACCCATATTGGCACCGGGTTTCGGTACCCAACCCTAGTTATAAAACCTGACAAAGGTGAGCAGGGTACACCAACCCGCAGCCTCACAAACACTGCATATAGACACACCAGATAAGAACATCTTGGAGGCCACCATATTTCGGGCTGAGTGGGCCCTGACCCCAAAAGTGACCAGAGGTCAGAGGACTCATAAGCCAGAAAAATAGCCTCAACTATCCATCTGCTTAAAGGAATAGTTCACCCAAAAATGAAAATTTGATGTTTATCTGCTTACGCCCAGGGCATCCAAGATGTAGGTGACTTTGTTTCTTCAGTAGAACACATTTGATGATTTTTAAGTCCAGCCGTTGCAGTCTGTCAGTCATATAATGGATGGCAATGGTAACAAAATCTATGAGAGTAAAAAAAAGTCTGGCGGCCTCATGCGCTCCCCTCTCCGGTCCGGGGCGTGAGGGGCGGCGGCTTCTATCAGTGGCTTCGTCCTGCTCTCTGAAGGGACTAGACGGCCCAGCATCCTTGCCCGATGGCCGTGTAACGGGTGCGGTTCTCGTCCGGCAGCTCATGGGAGTTCCTCTACGCACCCCTCCTGGACCCACGAGGACACCAGCGTGCATGCACCACCATCTGCTCCAGCTGGGATTAGATCAGCCAGTTGTCGATGTAATTTTCTATGCGAATAATCTGGAGTCTGAGAGGAGCCAAAGCAGCATCCACACACTTGCGGAAAGTGCGGGGTGGCAGTGCTAGACCGAACGGAAGAACCCGGTATTGGTATGCTTCGCCCCCGGAAGCAAACCTTAGGAACTTCCTCTGTTTGGGAAGGATGGAAAGATGGAAGTATGTGTCTTTCAAATCTATGGTGACGAACCAGTCTGTTTGTATCACAGTCTGTTTTAAAGTCAGCATCTTGAATCTGAACATCTTGACTGAGTGGTTGAGTTGGCGCAGATCTATGATGGGACGCAACTACCCATCCTTCTTGAGAACAATGAAGTATCGGCTGTAAAAGCTGGACTTCCTCTCGAGTGGAGGGACACACTCTATAGCCTCTTTTCTCAAAAGGGTAGCCACTTCTTGTTTCATCACCAGAGCCTTCTTGGGGCTTACCACAGTAAATGTGACCCAGTTGACCCAGCCACGAGGAGAGACGGGCACCGTATGATGAGGTGCCTGGCCACTGCTTTTCCCCAGAGGAATCTGCCCTCGGAAGACTGACACTCTGTGTCAGGACTTCTTCTCTGAAGCCTTCCTAGAGAGAATGACAGATCCGTTTTCTCCCTAGTTAGCTTTGGCTAAGAGTGCCACCCGACCCCTGATCTCTCTGTGGGGAAGCCCGGGAAGCAAGGCTCTTTTTCTAACTTGTCCCACATTTGACATAGCAAATATGCCCCATATATTATAAAACAGATTAGGGCCATTTCTGGTTTGGATGTAGCACTTGACACAGGCTAATTGAAATGGAAGTTTGAAATTGAAAATATAGCCTAATAGAATTTGGCTACTTTTAGTAGGATGCAACACAATTAACTGATGCAGGGTGATCTGGATACGAGTCTTAAGAAGGCAACATACCCAGCAATTTATTTTTTGAAACATGCTTTTAATGACAGTTTTTTTTTTTTTTTTTTATATGTGTACTTTCAGCATAAAAAAAGAGGTGCACTGTAATGATAGCTCTTACTGTCACAGTTTCTGTTCATTTGGAATTTGTTTCCTTTTGCACCATTTCCCTTGTGGTGTTGATTGTATTATTCTGTTCAGGTGTGCCTAGTTAATTATCCTTGTTTGGTCTGAGAACTTAAGCTTCTGCATGTTCACTTTGAGTTTGTCTGGTCTTATGTCTTGAATATTGCTGTGCTACATTGTGTTTGGATTTACCCTTGCTTTTGGTCCAAAACAGCAGCCTGTGTGAGGTTAGTCTGGATCTGCTCAGTTCTCCTCAGTTTTTTCTTAGATTAGTTTTGTTGACCTTGTTTGATTAACTTAATTTATTTAGTTTTCTTTATTTCTGCCTTTTTTGTTGGGTCAATATACTCGCCTTATTTTGCTGAAAAGCCTGTGTGCACACTCCTTTCTACCTGGCCTTATTACACATAAATAAAAAATACCATTACATTTTAGAAAACAACTTGGATTGTTTCAGAGAGAGAGAGAGAGAGAGAGAGAGAATAAAAAACATAATAGTAATTATAATGGATAATATTATCATTATAAGGAGAACACCAGATTTCCTTCAAAAACGGTACACAATGCTCCATGATTGCACCAAATAATTTTAAAAGTTGACAGATCTTCCATGGTTTTATAAAAATTGAAATCAATAATTTATTTAGTTTTCTTTATTTCTGCCTTTTTTGTTGGGTCAATATACTCCCCTTATTTTGCTGAAAAGCCTGTGTGCACACTCCTTTCTACCTGGCCTTATTACACATAAATAAAAAATACCATTACATTTTAGAAAACAACTTGGATTGTTTCAGAGAGAGAGAGAGAGAATAAAAAACATAATAGTAATTATAATGGATAATATTATCATTATAAGGAGAACACCAGATTTCCTTCAAAAACGGTACACAATGCTCCATGATTGCACCAAATAATTTTAAAAGTTGACAGATCTTCCATGGTTTTATAAAAATTGAAATCAATCAAAAAGTTAGTCAACAACAAGAGCGATGTTCTCATATCAACCGTTAGGTGGCAGTAGCAGGTCTTCTGATCTGTCCATCTGTTCCACATGAGAGCGCTCTTTGGCCCCAGCCGCAGGGCCCACACCAACTTCCATCTGTTGTAGGTGTACAAAAACAGTTGATAATGGCTCTCATTGATATGCGTAGAATTTTCAAATGTTTACACTACAAACAGGAAGCGAATGTGCATGTAGCCTTCTCTGTTTATTCTGTCAGGCCTTTTCCTTTGGCCCTTATTAAGTCTTATTGCAACCCATATACATAATCTGCAGTCTGATAGAAATCAACATGAGACTTCTGTGAATCCTTAAAAAACTATTTTTAGTCAATGATGCCATGACCACCAATAAGTCCTTACTGAGAATTAACAGTGGTTTAGCTCTACTTACAGCAGTTTTATTGAAATAAAAGCTAATATTATTAATGTTTCCTTCAGTTGGAAACTTGGCCCTTTTAAGTTAATTTTCTTTAAAATCAATGAATGTGTTGAATGTTTTATTTGCAGTCAACTTCATCTAAAAGGCACTGTGTGGCTGTAAGGCAGTTGTAGTTGTTGTGTTTCTGCTTGTCTCTTCTGTTTTCTTTCCTTCATTGAGTCTGCTCATTAACAGCAGGTGTCTTCACTAACAGTCAATCATAACTCATACAGACACAGAGCTCTGTACGTTTCACACTAAGGATTTTCCTGTAACTTCAGTGAGGCCTGCGGACAGAGAGTGTGTTAAGGAGGGTAACGACGAAAAGAGCTGGTTGAAATAGAGTTTGAAAAGCCGGGCTTGACAGGGTCACAGACGAGAAAACTGTTTCTGTTCGTGGCAGAAAACCGTTTACTGTAACCGTAAGCGTTTAAAAATCTAATGTAGGATTAGGTGACAGCTTAAAAGTAATAGAAAAATAATGTTTTATCATAGCACACTCAAAACAACAACAACAACAAATGATCTCAGGCTGAACTTCATTCAGTTGTGACCAGTGGTAGATATTGAAACTCTTTAATCTGGCATGGAAATGTGAGGCCCTAATTTGCGTACAATAATAACAGGTTGCATTATTGTATTATAATTGTATTGTAAGCAGCCCGTGATTTGACCAACATTTGTGACCTGCTAAGAATGCAATGAAAAGTTGCATAAGACAATGCGACATTCCAAATTCCTCCGATTCCTTTGTGGGATAATGAGTACGGCGTGACTGAGATTAAAACATTTCACTCAAGTGTTTCTGTTTTGTAAGTTATCTCAGGACTGAAGCGAATCAGACAATAGTGATTATACCTGCGGCCTATGCATGAGAATTCTTTATACATTTGTGATCTTCATATAACAAAAAGTTTGTTTTTATAAAAATCAACCATAAAAGTGCGGGAAGTTAAAGAAACGCAAATTAAAAATTATTTTTCCAAGTTATCAGTAAGTGAGATGGTCCATAACTCCAACCACAGAGGAATGAATAACTAACACATCAGTTCTATGGGGGAAAAATATTTGAGAGAGAGAGATGCATGACTGCGATAAAATGTCTGGCGACACTGAAAGCTGGAATGAGAGTGAACGGAGCAGCAGCAGGTGGTTTTCATTACTGGAATCTTTCTGATATGAAAGAAATTCCACAGGCATCTTCCTCAGTGGAGAGACATCCTCTACAATAAGCATTCATTAACAATAAATATTATTTTCAGATGAAATGTTATATTCCAACACCCCTACATCATCTTGAGGTTGTAACAGCTAATTACGGAGAACTACACAGATTTGCCAAGTGCCTGAACGCTTGCTGATTTCAGTCCAATTCTAATGATCAGATGCAAATGAAATCAAATTCGATGACCAAGACATTCATAGGAATTAGCTCAGCCAGCCAGGTCTTCGTGTGTGCATAAATCCATTACTAAGCTACGAGTCCTTTTTCCAACAGTTGTAAGAAATGCCACTTTGTTTTGTTTTCTTTGTTTATTTCAATGCTTTTATAATACTTTTCACAATACACATGGTTTCAAAGCAACAGAAATGTGGATATTTATAGCATTTGCACGATATTATTGAATTATGTGGATGTGACCATCTGTAAGGTTTGAAATTGTAATTTTGGTGTAGTGACATTTTATTAATTTTCTTTGGTGATGTGCCATGGTCACATAAATTACAGGGTTTAAAAAGTTGGTTATATACGAATATTCGTAAGCAGTAAAAAAAAAAAGTTAAGTTAAAGTCATGCCATAATATCTCATACAACAAAAGACATAATACAAAATATTGTTAGTCCTCTAGTGTGTAAGCCAAAGGCAACTGACAAGTAACAAAAAATTTCAGTTAATGTTAGATAATGGAGAAAAAACTCACTAAGCCAGGGTGGCAGGTCTCCTTTTTGTTTTGAGATCCATCTTTTCACACCGAGGACAACTGATGGGCTCATACTGTCACACATATATATATATATATACACACACACACACAGAGAGAGAGAGAGAGTTGTGCTGGGGGTGTAAACTTTTAAATGGGATGATCAATTAATAATTTGATGAGATCAATTGTACTTACTTTGTCTTCTGGGAAACATACAAGTATTTATGTAGCTTCTGAAGTCCAGTACTAAATGAAAAAAATTATCGTTAAACAAAATGAGAAGAATTTACACCATCCTGTTCAAATGTTTACACCCCCCAGCTCTTAATGCATTGTGTGGCCTTCTTGAGCATCAGTAAATGTTTTCACCTTTTGTAATAGTTATGCATGAGTCCCTCCATTGTTAAAGAGATGGATCTCAAAATCATACAGTCACTGTTGGAAAGGGTTCAAATATGCAGAAGATGCTGGAAAACCAAAGAATGTGCAGGAGCCGGGGGTTTTTCTGAAGAACAGCAGGCAGTTGAACCAACAAGGGACTCATGAACAACTAACACAAAATATAAAAACCGTCGTGGATCATCCAGGAAATGACACACGGTATTAAGATTCAAGGGTATGTAAACTTTTGAACGGGGTCATTTTTTTATAAATTCAGTTATTTTGTCTTGTGGAGTATATGTAAACACAGGGGTGCCTAAACTCAGTCCTGGAGGGCCGGTGTCCTGCAGAGGTTTGCTCCAACCCCAATCAGACACACCTGAACCAACTAATCAAGCTCTTACTAGACATACTAGAAACCTTGTCGCAGGTGTGTTGAGGCAAGTTGGATCTAAACTCTGCAAGACACTGGCCCTCCAGGACTGAGTTTGGGCACCCCTGTGTAAACATCTGTTATGTGAAATAGCTTATTCTGGACAGTACTTAATCAAAAATAACATCCAACTTTCATGATCCCTCTTTGTTTAAATTAGTAACATTTTGCACATTCTGCAAGGGGTATGTAATCTTATGAGCACAACTCTGTGTGTGTGTGTGTGTATATATGCATTATTGCCTAAACTATTTTAAATTTGTCATTAATGCTTTTGGCTACACAAATTTTGGTTGAATAGATGAAAATAACCATTCATTTTAATTGTTTATTTTGTCTTTATGGCTTTCGGACTGTGAGCTGCTTTGTGATTTAACAATGCTTGATGTTTCATTTCTTTTGGAATTATTTTAATCGGCAGAGAAGAAATATACAAACTAAATGTCCCCCCCCCCCCCCCCCCCCCCCCCTTGGGTGGTCGCACAACATGTTATGATTTTGATTTGGTGGATATAATTGGTTCGTATATATATATTTTTTATTTTATATATATATATATATATATATATTTAAAAATTTTATCTAAAATATAAATAATAATAATGTCCAAATGCTTAATAAGGAACATAAGTAACTAAGTTAATGAACTAACTTCTTGTTCATTGAACTGTGCACAAGAAAAGCAATTGCTCCAGGGATATTGTGTTTGTTTGCCATCATGGTTCTGAAAAATGATTGCTCCATACCATTTTTCCATCTTTCAGTGAGGCACTTTAATTTGTTTAGGAAGAGCAAAAGAACTGCAGCTTCAAGCCATTGTGTCATGCCATTTCTCAGTTCTCAGAAGCAAATTACTTGTACCTACTGAAGACTTGATCTTACTTTGATCTCATCTTCTCACCATTTAAGATAAGAATTCAGTGAACCTGGAACTTCATCAGACAGTTTACTGCATATCAAACCAAACCTTTCAAAACATCAAGCAGTCAGTGATAATTGCAATAGGCTGAAATAAAAATAATCATAAAATAAAACACTATTAATATCATGTTAACTTGTTGAACAACTTCATTAGTAACATATACATAGTTAACCGATTAGAAAATAATACAGACCAGTGTTTCTTAAGACCAGGTTTGGTCATAATAGGAATGTTTGTACCATATTGGATTAATACAATCAAAAGTGTGCCCTTTTTAATATTAAAAAGTGGTGCACTGTAAACAACAGGAAAAAAACAAAACCAATGAAATAAATAAGACAAAACTTATGAACCAGTCAGCCAAAACTGATGCATAAAGCACTGCTGCACTCTACATTAATTTTTATAGATTTTGCTTAAGCCATGATACAAAGTTGTCCATCATTCTGTGTCCAATATCAAAGTCTGTGGGCCACGTAGTGAACATTAGTGCACCATGAAATCCACCGGGGTAATGTTCATGTGTGACATCAACTCCAGCATTACGCAAGCGTGTGACATACATCAAGCCGTCATCCCGCAGTACATCATATTCACAGGTCAACACATACGCCTTAGGCAGTAAACGCAAGGCTGTGTCAGGCACCAGCAATGGCGAGGCTCGTGGATCTGCAAGCAAGTGATGAGGACCAATAGAGTGCACTGAACTTTTTCCGGTGACCACGGGTGGAGCGCTGTAGTTGTACGTCTGGCGATATGAATCGGGTAAATATGAACTCCAATTGACAAACTTAAGCAAAGCACCTGATTCATGGTTATTGTGTCTGTTTGCCATCATGGCTCTCAAAAACGACTTGTCGCTGGTGAAGTACTCGCTCCAAAACCTCACCATCAGTGTGCGAGGCAGTATAGGCATGTGCTGGTTCTGCTGGTAGGAGGGAGTGTTCAGATCCAAGGCTTGCAGAACAGGGTAGATTAGAGCTTGGGCCTTTAGCTGGATATGCTGTTCTGGGTCCTTCTGCAACTGAGTATACATAAAAAAAATTCAATTATACATATAATAATATGTGACTCTGGAGCACAAAAGCAGTCATAAGTAGCACAGGTATATTTGTAGCAACAGCCAATAATATATGGTGTGGGTCAAAATTATAGATTTCTCTTTTATGCAAAAAATCATTAGGACATTAAGTAAAGATCATGTTCCATGAAGATATTTTGTAAATTTCCTACCGCAAATATATCAAAACTTAATGTTTGATTAGTAATATGCATTGCTAAGAACTTCATTTGGACAACTTTAAAGATTATTTTCTCAATGCTTTTGCACCCTCAGATTCCAGATTTCCAAATAGTTGTATCTCAGCCAAATATTGTCCGATCCTAACAAACCATACATCAATGGAAAGCTTATTTATAAAAAAAAAATTGACCCTTATTACTGGTTTTGTGGTCCATGGTTACATATAAACATATTATTTATTAAAATAAAAGCAAACTTCATAAAGCAACTTTTATGGCCATTTTTGACCACTTAGAATTTAAGCACTGCTGAAGAATGTTTAAAATGTGAAATTGGTGTGTAATTATTGTTACCAGTTACCTGGTATTATTATAGATTTATAAGAATTATTATTATATATGACTGTAACCTAACCCTAAAAACAAAACAAGGGAACACTTAAATCACAAATTGGGTCTTGATTAACAAAACATAGTTAAAACTCTTTACTTGTATACATTGTCTAATAATTCGATGAGAACTATATTATGTGACAATGGTCATTAGAAACCAAAATCATCAGCCCATTGAGGGCTAGATTAAATCACACTGAAAATCAAAGTAAAAAAAATTGAAATTACAGGCTGATTTGAATTTCATCAAAGCAACTCATAATGTAATCAGTAGTGTACATGGCCCCCATGTGCCTGTATGCACTCCTGACAATGTCTAGGCATGCTCCTGATGCGATGATGGATGGTGTCCAGGGGGATCTCCTGCCAGACCTGGATCAGGACATCAGTGAGCTCCTGCACAGTCTGTGGTGCTACTTGGCAGCTTCGTAAGCTGGTTCTCAATTGAATTGAGGTATGGGGAACATGAGGGCCAGTCAACAGCATCAACACCTACATCATCCAGAAAGTGCCTACATACTCTGGCCACATCAGGCCGGGCATTGTCCTGCACCAGGAGGAACCCAGGGCCCACTGCACCAGTGTAAGATCCCTCCAAGATATTCCTCCCCAGACCATCAATGACCAGTGTTGAGCAGTAACACATTACTTAGTAACGGAGTAATTTAACGCGTTATAATTATCAAAATAGTAATTAGAGTATAGTTACAAGCCGAGGTCTCTATACGTTACTGCCACGTTACATTGCTGACAGAATGCAATGTTTTATAATCTAGAGATTGTAAAAAGGATGTAGCACACACACACTGTCGATTCAAGTGCCGGTGAATTAGAGACCTGCTCCCGCGAGACCCGACGCAACAGAGCGCGGCACGGGAGAAGACTTGATAGGCGAGTGCAGAGACTCGTGTGTGTGTGTGTGTGCGGGATGCGGGAGAATAAACATTACTTAGTAACGTGTTACTGTAATTTGATTACTTTTTTTAGTAACGGGGTAATTTAACGCGTTATGATTATCAAAATAGTAATTAGAGTATAGTTACAAGCCGAGGTCTCTATACGTTACTGCCACCACCAAAACGGTCATGCTGGATGATGTTGCAGGCAGCAGAATGTTCTCCATGGCATCTCCAAACTCTTTCACGTCTGTCACACGCTCCGTGTGAACCTACTCTCATCCACGAAGAGAATGGGGTGCAAATGGTGGACCTGACAATTCTGGTGTTCTCTGGCAAATGCCAATCAAGTTGCACGGTGCTGTCATGCCTGACCTGCTGGGGGCATTTTAGAGGGCTCTGAAAGTTTTCCTCCTTGCAGAAGCCTGCTGCTGGGTTGTTGCCTTCCTATGGCCCTGTTCAGCTCTCCTCGTGTAACGGTCCATCTCCCGATATATAGGAGACACACCAAACCTGAAGTGCCATTGTGGAGGAGCTGGACTACCTGTGCAACCTGATTGGACTGTATGTACAGCCTCAAGCTACAAGTAGTGAGAAGGACCTCTAAAGACAAATCAGTAAGGAAAGATAAAGATAGAGCAGTTGTCTGTGGCCACCACCTGCAAGACCATTCCTTTTTAGAAGGTTGTCTTGCTGTTGTCTCTCCAGTGCACCTGTTGTCACTTTCATTTGCACCAAAGCAGGAGAAACTGATTCACAATCGCTTATGCTTCCTAACTGAACAGATTGATATCCCTGAAGTGTAAATGCCTTGGTGTTATACTGTGATGATTGTGTAGATGGAAACAAAAATGTGATGAAAACATATTATGTACAGTAGGTAACTAAAGGTATAAAGCACAACATTTATAGATAAAATGCATTGATTATTTTGGAGTCCAATTGTAAATCGTACTGTAGTCATTCATGTATAATTTTCCACATCTTACCTGCTGAGCCACTGCAGCTGCAAGGTTGCCTCCTGCACTGTCTCCTGACACAGCAATCCGTTCTGGATTGATATGGTAGCCCTTCAGAACATCAACACGAAAGATGAACTTCACCACACGGTACACATCCTCAAACTGGGCAGGAAAATGATAAGCTGGGGCAAGACGATACCTGCACAGAGCAAATTATGTTAGTATTGTTCTTCTTAATATTATTTTTCTGTCAGAATAAAACCTACTGTTTTGAATAGCATGGTTGTCCACAGATAGTTAGCACAAACAGCATGACAGTTTTAATGTGTTTTTTATTAAATTAAAAGGAAGGTTAAAAAATAGCATAATGTCTGCAATAGAATCTGAACTTGTTCTGTGTTTGTTGTTAGTTTGCAAGCTCCAATACACTGTTTCACTTTCCATCACAAGCCCCAAAGTCTCTTTATTGTATTACTCATCACTGTCTTTACTTCTACTTTTCTGAGGCAAACGTTACTGAATGCAAGATCCCTCACGAACCCAGCAAAGGTAAAAAGTTAGCATTAACCAGCATTATTATTACTTAAATTAATGGAGAACCCAATAGGCTGAACAAGCTCTTCTAATGGTTTTATTTTATTTTTTAAATTGGGCTGGGTCTGTGAGGGGGATCGTCCCACTAGATTGCGATGAGCTGTGCTGTGACTCATAAGATAGCACCCACGCCATTGTTTCTCAAAGTTCAAAGAAGAAAGCCCATCCTGGGCTGAGATAATGCCACCCCAGATAGCATGCAGATGTGGGCCACTTAAGGCAATGATACGGCACTGCTAGCCTTCTTATGGCCCGGACAATATGGATGCAAGCCTGAAGTGGCCCATATGTAAAACAGCAAAAATGGCTCAAATGTATCAAATCACATGTGGGCCTTTGTAGGCAAAGATGCGGCGTTCACAGCAATGTGTAATCTGAATGTGACCCTAAAGTGGCCCATGTGGTAAACAGTGATAATGGCCCAAATAGTGCCAACCAAATGTCGGCCACCTTTGGCTAAAATGTGGCATTATTGACAAAGGCTAATCAGGGTGTAAACCAAATGTGGCCAACATATGTTTCAGCAAATGTGTACATTAAAGCGTATCTGGGCTAGTTTTGGCAAAGATGTGGCACAGTAAGCACTGGCTAATGTGGCTGTGAGCCTAAAGTGGCCCGCATATGATGCCACAAATGTGGCCCAGTTATCCTAAAATGTATCTGGGCCAGTTTTGGTAAAAGTATGGCACAGTAAGCACTGGCTAATACGACTGTGAGCCTAAGGTGGCCCGCATATGATGCCACAAATGTGGCCCAGTTATCCTAAAATGTATCTGGGCCAGTTTTGGCAAATATATGGCACAGTCAGCATTGGCTAATCAGTAATAATTGGCTAACTTGTCCCACATTTGACATGGCAAATATGCCCCATATATTATAAAACAGATGAAGGCCACTTCTGGTTTGGATGTAGCACTTGACATTGGTTAATTGAAATGGATGTTTGAAATTGTAAATATGGCCTAATTGAATTTGGCTACTTTTAGTAGGATGCAACGCAGTTAACTGATGCAGGGTGATCTGGATATGAATCTTAAGAAGGCATCATACCCAGCTATTTATTTTTTGAAACATGCTTTTGATGGCAGTTTTTTATGTGTACTGTGCAGCATAAAAACAGAAGTGCACTATAATGATCGCTCTAACTGTCACGGTTTCTGTTATATTGGACTTTGTTTTCCTTTTGCACCATTTCCCTTGTTGTGTTGATTGAATTATTCTGTTCAGGTGTGCCTAGTTAATTATCCTTGTTTAGTACGTATGTTCACTTTGAGTTTGTCTGGTGTTATGTCTACATTTCTTGAACGTTGCTGTGCTGCATTGTGCTTGGATTTACCCTTGTTGGATTAAAGAGTTATGGTATATAACCTTTCGTCTGAGTGAGAAGCATTTAGGTTCAAATTTGTGAAGAATTGTTTTTAAAGTCTTGGAATGTGTCTTTGAATAGCTGCTTGTGCAAAACTTGGGCTGGGACGATTTTACCAAGTAGGACACATTTCTGGAACTTTTTTGAACATTTTAGGGAGGACATTTTAAAATTTCTCTTTACAATATGTTGATTATTGTTGATGCACAACTCACTTAAGGCGTAGTGTGGCCCAGATAATGTATATTTATGGTTTATTTGGTTCATTATTAGCGAAAATGTGGCTGTGCAGTGGCCTGCTTGTGGACCACTGCCAAAATGCCACTATTCCATGCAGAATGTGGGCCACATGAGGAATGTGGTGAAGACCAGGATTAAGCTGGCTACACACTAGAGGATTTTAAGTCCGATTTGCACCCCTGAATGATAGGGGGGTGTGGCCCGATTTTTTTTGTCCAAAAAATCCTCTGTTGTGTGGTGTCATTATGATTATTTAACTGCTCCCGATCGAGACGGAGCGTCGCCGAACTCATATGTAAATATCAAACATGATCGGGCTGCCTCTGACGTGATACCCACGATAGCCAAATGAGAGCGAGCAAGCGTCACCTACCGGATGTTGCGTGCTTCTATAGCTGAAACTGGAAGACCAGGATTAAGCTGGCTACACACTAGAGGATTTTAAGTCCGATTTGCACCCCTGAATGATAGGGGGGTGTGGCCCGATTTTTTTGTCCAAAAAAATCCTCTGTTGTGTGGTGTCATTATGATTATTTAACTGCTCCCGATCGAGACGGAGCGTCGCCGAACTCATATGTAAATATCAAACATGATCGGGCTGCCTCTGACGTGATACCCACGATAGCCAAATGAGAGCGAGCAAGCGTCACCTACCGGATGTTGCGTGCTTCTATAGCTGAAACTTGGCAGCCACAAACATGCCATGAAAGCAGAGAACATCACCCATATTCTTTTTTTATACTTTGTTTTTCACTGTGAAACAGAACACATGCCAGGAGAGCCAGCTGACAACATTGATTGTCCTCTATTTGTTTTTCTTCTCTAGTCACGTTTGATCTCGAGAGTCTCCTGTGAGATCTCGTGTCACTGTGAAATCTTTCCTACAGTCATCAGGTGTGTGGTCTTGCGGTCTGGTCAAATCATCTAGTGTGTGCGTTCAGAGGATTATAAGGCTAAAAATAGTTTGAAACTGTCTTCATGTCTGTAGTCTCACATGGTTTTAAAATCGGTTAAGATTTGAAAATCGTCTAGTGTGTCCCAGGCTTTAGAATAAAAATCAGCTGTGGCCAGTTTTGGTTTATTTGCTTGGCTGACATGTGGCAATGCTAAGGCTTACATGAGGCCCAAATCTGGCAAACAGGAGTGGTCCACCCAAATGCCATCATCCTAAACAGTATGCGGGCTGGAGCAAGTTGTTGGATCTGGGCTGGATCAGGGCCAGAATTAAAATCAATGTTGCCCAGATTGGGCCAGTTATGGTTTATTTTATTTATTTTCATGGCTGACATTCGGCCTTCCAATGGCTTGCTTGTGGCCCAAATCTGGCAAACAGGAGTGGTCCACCCAAATGCCATAATTCTACACAGCATGTAGGCTGGGGCAAGGTGTTGGATCTGGGCCAGAATTAAAATCAATGTTGCCCAGACTGGGCCAGTTCTGGTTTATATTATTTATTTTCATGGCTGACATGCAGCCTTCCTATGGCTTGCTTGTGGCCCAAATTTAGCAAACAGGAGCAGACTGCCCAAGTGCCAGAGGTGCAAAGTCCAGGTTCAGAAAGTAAAAGTCCTCCTCAGTATTTTGTTCCAATCACCTGCATTTGCTAATTAGCACAGTTTTTCAGCAGAGGTGGGACCAAGTCATTCCTTTCAAGTCTAAAGTTAAATCCCAAATCCTCAAAGAGTTAAAGTTAATGAGATAATTAAGTGACTAATTAAATGATGATTGTGCATTAGTGATGAACACCTGCTGTTATTGAGAATTACAGAGGATTAGATTTTGATGTTTTATTGGTTAAAACGATGCCCCCATCATGGATATTAGTGTTTGCTTTAGTTGGGCTCTTGACCCTTGAATTGCTGTGTTAGATCTCTCTCTGCAGCAATGCATGTGGTGTTGTGAAGCTATTAGCTGTTTTATGTGATGAGCCATCAGGAGCTGGCCTGAAAACATTCAAAATAACTTTAATTTTTTTATACAGTATGTTTAGGCATTGCTTTACTAACCCTGTGAAACTACAGCATGCAAGCAAAGTGTTGCTTTAACAGTTATTGTGTATACATTTCTAATCTACTTAATGCATTACAAAAATGAACTCCTGTCCTCCTGTCCTACACACAGACATCAAGCACCAGCATATGAATCTCAACAACGGTGACAATCAACAAAATGCTTCATGCTGCAATGCTGCAATATCACAAAACACGCTACTAAAATTCAATTAAACTCAACACAAAAACAAAAGCAAAAATAAAAGCACATAGTAAGCATTCAAGAAAATAAGTGGACAATTCAGCAGCATTATTTATTCATGCCGCAATGTATGCTAGGAGTCATGGATGAGTTTTGTCCTGTGCTGGTACCCAGCATGCATTGCAGCATGAAGCTTTTGATTGCCACCATTGTTGAGATTCATATGCTGATTGTTGACGTCTCTCTTTGAGTGTGAATGGCATAACAGTTGTAACATGGGGTTTTGAGGTTTGTTTCATGTTCTTGTTTTCATGTCTTTTATTTTGTAATTTGATTTATGCTGTTAGTGTCAAGCTTCCCTTGTCCGCTTGTGTTCCTGCTATTGGTTCCTCTGTTCAATGTGTCATGTTCTGATTGGCGTATGCTGGGTACACACTAAAAGATTTTTAAAATCTTATAAGATCTTCAAAATGTAAGAGACCACAAACATGAGGGGAAAAAAATCCTAGATTTAACCGTTTTGCTCCTATAGTGTGTGGTGTTTAACCCCCCCACACACCCCACACACCCCACACGCACATCAGGATTTCTGATCCAACAAGTTGAATATTTACGATTCGCGATCGGGGCGCCTCCGACGTTCTTCCGAGCAGATTCAGTCACTCTTAACACACCTCACACCACAGGAAAATCTGATAAGATAATCTTTAGAACCACCAAGATAATCGGGACATTACCTAGGATTGTCGGCAGGGGAGAAATGGCCCAAAATCAGCCCGATTATCTTGTGGTGTGTATCCACCCAA